CAAAGTCATTCAAAAATTAAGGCAATGCACACACAACCACAACAACAAAAAAAAGCGGCTTCACTGAGATACAATGCATCCACCATGCAGTTGAGCCCTTTAAAGCAGTGGTTCTCAACCTTCTGGCCCTTTAACCCCTTCCCCGGCAGAAACGTGTATACTCGTTTTCACAAAATGTTCTTTTTCAGTCGTCGACGAGTATACTAAGAAAATATGGTAAAAAAATATGGTTTATAGGAAGACGAGTTACAAACTGTTTTCATAACCAGCATCAAAAATACTATATAGAACCAAAATAAAAAAATTAGTCTGAAAAAGAAACGTTTTTAACAAAAAAATTGTTGGGGAAGGGGTTAAATACAGTTCCTCATGTTGTGACCCAACCATAAAATTATTTTCATTGCTACTTCATAACTGTAATGTTGCTCCTGTTATAAATCGTAATGTAAATATCTGATATGCAGGATGGTCTTAGGCGACCCCTGTGAAAGGGTCGTTCGACCGCCCAAGGGGTCGCGACCCACAGGTTGAGAACCGCTGCTTTAAAGTGTACAATGCAGTGGTTCACAGGTACGTACAAACATCACCACAGTGACTTTTGAAACATCATCGCCTCAAAAGAACACACACACACACACACACACACACACACACACGTCTGTTTTGGCTATTCCTTCCTCTCTGTCCCCATCCCTTTCACCAGCCCCCAGCAGCCACCACTCTACTTTCTGTCTGTAGGTTTCCTATTCTGGACATTTTATATGAATGAAATGAGATGATATGTAGCCTTTTGTAGTTGGCTTCTTTCACTTAGCGTAATGTCCTCAAGGCTCATTCATGTTGTAGCATGCATAAGTGCTTTGTTCCTCACTTATTTATTTTATTTTTATTTATTTTGGAGAGGGAGGGAAAGGGAGATAGAAACATCAGTGATGATGAGAGAGAAACATTGATCGGCTCCTTCCTGCATGCCCCCTACCAGCGATCAAGCCCAGAACCCGGGCATGTGCCCTGACCGGGAATTAAACCAGTGACTTTTTGGTGCATGGGACGACGCCCAACCAGCTGAGCCACACCGGCCAGGACTGTTTTTTGGGTTTTTTTTTAAATGACTGGGTAACATTTCATAATTTACATTATATCAAATATACTCAGTTTCCAGTTGTGCTGTTGCCGATAAGGGGATCCTTCTGCGGCATAGTCGGACCATGTTCATCCCCTGCTCCAAGCCCTTACCTTGAACAGTGGCCATGGAGGCTGAGCCTTGTCTACCGTCAGCCGGTCCTCCCACCTCCCTGTTCACTCTCAGACTGACTGCTGCACAGGCCAGGTTCTCTTCCTGGGTCTTGCTTGTTGGAGCTGTGTTCTCTGTGGGGAATGGCCCATCCGCTCAAGCACTGAATAGTATTGTAAGAGCTCAGACTCTGGGTCGGACTTGGGTTTTTTCCTCTCCTTAGTCTTTTCCTCTCCTATATTCCCAAGGAAGTTCATTCTAATCTTTATTATGTTTTGTATTAGGCTTTCTACTATCTAAGTCAGTGATGGCGAACCTTGTGAGCTCTGTGTGTCAGCATTTTGAAAAATCCTAACTTAACTGTGGTGCCATGTCACAAATAGAAATTTTTTGATATTTGCACCCATAGTAAAACAAAGACTTATATTTTTGATATTTATTTTATATATTTAAATGCCATTTAACAAAGAAAAATCAACCAAAAAAATGAGTTCGCGTGTCACCTCTGACACGCGTGTCACAGGCTCGCCATCACTGATCTAAGTAGTGATGTTCGGTGCACCCATCACCACCTTAAATTCAGGTTCCTTGGAAACAAATGGCTGCCCCTCTGAGGTTGTGCAGTGTATAGAGGCAGGGGGTTATGGGAAATCTAAAACTGTAAAAAAAAAATTAAGTCTAAAAAACCCACTATGGAGCCCTGATGGGTGGCTCAATTGGTGGGAGCATGGTCCCATACATCAGAAAGGTTGCGAGTTCGATCCCCAGTCAGAGCACATACCTGAGTTGCAGGTTAGGTCAACCAATTGATCTCTCTCTCTCTCTCTCTCTCTTTTTTCTCCTCCCTCCCTCTCTTCCCCTCCTCTCTCCCTTCCTCTTCCCCCTCCTTCCCTCCCTTCCTCTCTCTCTGTCTTCTCCCTCCCTCGCCCATTCTCTCTCTCTAAAAATCAATAAACATATCCTTAGGTGAGGATTTATAAAGCTATGAAGACAGTAAAATGATTAGTGGCTAGTAGCGGTGGAGGGTAGAGATGATTAGGCAGAGCATGGAGAGTTTTTAGGGCAGTGAAACCACTCTGAATGAAACTCTAACGGTGGCTCTATGTCATGTTACAGTCGCCCAAACCTAGAATGTAATGTAAACTATGGACTTAAGGTGATAACAATGTAGGTTTATTAGTTACACGACAAATGTACCATTCTGGTGGGAGGGGTGTTGATTAAAGAAAAAAAATCTAGCCTCCACCTTTTCTTTAATCCCTGCCCCCCCCAATGAATCATGGACCTTTGCATGCAGAGGTGTTTATTAATTTAGTATTCAGTAAATGGATTAAGACCAGACTCCTGTGACTATAATTGACCTGGTTTATGGCTGTTACTTCCAAAATTCACCCTAATTATCGCCATCAAAACTTCACTGTTAGTACCTGCAGGCGGTCTTTGTGGAAGCTAGCTCAGCTCTGGACAGGGGTTTACCAGCCAAGACTGGAGAGCACTCTGAAGTTTTAAAGGGCACCGTGCCTTGAAGTTTGTGGCTTGTCCCGTCTCCAGCTGGGTCATCTCTGAGCACTAAATTCACCAGAAAAGAAAGTGGGAACTGCAGAGAGAACCACCAGTGGAAATACAGGTGTAGCCCCCTCACGATGGTAGCGTGGGTTGCCCCTGGTGACCATCTGCCTACAGATCCCCCTTCCCCTGGTTCCCTTTCTGTGAAAATGCAGAAACACAATCGCAGTGGGTGCCTGGGAGGAGTGGCCACTCTTGGTGGCTCTCTCCCTCCCTGCAGCCCCTCCCTGAACCATATGAAATCCTACAGCCACACCACACTAATTAGCTGAGAATGGAAGGGGTTGTCATGGCAACCGAGCACTTTTTAAAGCACAGGAATGGTGTTCATTATTGTTCAGTGTCTTTAGCTGTGGCGGAAAGGTCAGTGTGGCAGTTGTTTTCCATATGAATTTTGGCCCCAGAGCCAAGCAGAGTGGACCGTTCCTCGGAGACACTGGGAGATGGTAAGTGCAGCTGCACTTTTTGGATGGGGCATCCCTTCAGCGATACATTTTAGAATGTTTTGCTAACTAGTGCCAAACGAAGGAATTGTGTGGACTTTGTTAAGAGATTGGAAGAAAAAAAGCAAAGGGAAACGGTATGGGTCAGGAATGGTGGAAGCTTGAAGGAGATTCTTTATTTAGAAAGTTTTGGAGCATCAAATGATTACATGCTACATAAGGAGGTTTCTCTGCTTATGACTTCAACAAAGTTGGCTAAGCCTGATGCTTTATTCGGGGTTTGTTTTATATTAGCGCTATACTAGTCTTTGCTGCTGGTCAGAGTATATTACCAAATAAATGTAGCAAGCATTTTAATTTTAACCACATATCTTCAGGGCAGCTGCCTCTCTCCGTTGTTAACTCAAATATTAAGGAAGAACAGTGACCAAGGGTAATTTTGTTTTCTTACGTTTATGTTTTTCCATTTTTCTAAGGATATCTGAAATAATCAAGACTAGAAACCTCTGAGGCACAATTCTTGGGATGTTTGCCCTAACTTGTTGGCTTTCCCCGGGGAGAATACTGCTGAGTTAAGACAATTTGACCAGTGTTTGCAGAAGAAATTAAGTATAAGTCAGCCTGCTGGAGAGGATGACAGCTATTCCATCAAAAGCTGGAAGGGCGATTGGCAAAGTATTCTTTAAGTTTATGTGTTGCTAGTTTGGAACACGTACAGAATTACATGGCTTTCAGCCTAATTTTGTGTTAATGACTGACGATGTTTCTGTGGTTCGCAAATTTGAGCCACTTGCCATATTTTGCACTTTTAATCAATGTACTTCTAGCCCATGGCACTACTTTTCAGCCATTTTATACACAGTTGTGTAGGATAACAAACTTCAGATTAATGAAAGGGGATGCATATTGGAATTAAAAAACAAATCACTGCCCACAGAGCTGTGCATGGGAAGTGGCCTACTTTTGGGCTTTCCTCTGAAAGCCTTATTGTCCTGTGAGTAATGGCCAGTTTGTTTGGCAACTGAATGGATAAGAGAATACATTTCAGAATGTTAAGTCTTGGTTTGATTTCCTCTGTCTTTAATTTGCATGTTCAGGGATTCAGTTGTTTAGTCATCATGGTATGGAGCTCTCCATAAATGGGGTATTTGACTGGAAATTGAGAAAATTAAAATTCTCCTTTTTTGTCTCTTTTCTCCACCTCCATTCCTTCCCTCCTCCTCACTGGGTCACTGCATTTATTACCTAAAAATGTCTTTAAATGCTTTTAAATTGAAGTTTAAAAAGTAAGTAAAGTGATATTTGTATGACACTTTGGATTCTTTGGAAAGCATAGAATTAAATATGGTGGTACATTTATGATATTTGTAAAACAATCAGCAATTGAAATATGGTTATTAATATCAAGGAATCATTGGTATCTTTTAAGGTATGATAATGTTGTTGTGACATGAGAAAATGATAATGATATGTTTACAACTGAGGCAGTGTGATATCTGGGCCTTACTTCAAAAAAAAAATCCAAGGGTAGGAGTAAGTGGGCTCCTGGGTGGGCAGGATTGCCAGGGGGTGATGGTTGTTGAAGCAAAGAGATGGGTACCTGGGGGTGGGATTCACTTTCAGGTTTTGTTTGTTTGTTTGTTTGTTTGTTTGTCTTTGGTGTAGGTTCAGTGTGTGTGTGGGTAGGTGGGTATGGGTGTGCATCACAGTGGTGGGGTGGCCTTGTTAACTTTATTTCTCACCTTCCGCATGTTTAGATGCCAGACCAGTTTGACCAGGCAGTTGTGCTAAACCAGCTGCGGTACTCTGGGATGCTGGAGACGGTGAGGATCCGCAAGGCTGGATATGCCGTCCGGAGACCCTTTCAGGATTTTTACAAGAGGCAAGATGGAGCGGAATAAATCCACTTTCTTTTCAAAGGGATTGGGAAGAGAGGGAGTGGCAGTAAAAGGTGACACTGGCCCCTTCGGCCCCTTTACGTTGCAGGTATAAAGTGCTGATGCAGAACATGGCTGTGCCCGAGGACATCCGAGGGAAGTGCTCGGCCTTGCTGCAGCTCTATGACTCCTCCCACAGCGAGTGGCAGCTGGGGAAGACCAAGGTAAAGCCACAGAGAAGGAATGCGGCCCCCGCCCCACTCCCACCGCCCCAGCCCCAAGCTCCATGTGCTATGGTCCTGCTGGCCTCTTGTTGTTGTTTTTTGTGTTGGAAAAATATGGTTGGGATCATGTCCAACTTAATCTTTTGTCTTCCAAACAGTATGGGAAGTCCTTGACTTTTCAGGGATTCTGTTTTTCTTAGGGCACACCTTGAAACATTGGGCCCCAAGTGTTTCTGTGTTTGTATTCTCTCAGGCAGCCAGCAAACCTTTGCTGCTGGGCAGCCCGGTGCCTGGGATGTGCTAGGCAGCCCCATGTCTGAGAAGATGCCTGCCTTCTTGCTAGGTTCTCGCATGGGGAAGCGGGGGATAGCAGAGTAAGCTCTGGTCTCTCTTTTGTTTTCCCAATTGAATTTATTGGGGTGACAGCTATAATAATGAAAGTGTAATATGCTAACTAGACTGGACAGCCGAACAACCTTCTGGACAAAGCCAGGGCTGCAAGGGCCGAGCCCCTTGCGTGAATTTCATGCATTGGGCCTCTAGTTGGTTAATAAAATTATACAGGTTTCAGTATACAATTCTACAATACATCATCTGTCTACTGTATTGTGTTTACCACCCTAAATCAAGTCTCCTTCCATCACCATTTATCTCCCTTTTCCCTTTTTCTACCTCCCCCTACCTCCCTTCTCTTCGTTTTCTTATAAAGGCACTAATCCATCATGGGGCCTCACCTGCCTGACCTTATCACAACTTAATTACTTCTTCAAAGTCCTACCTCCAAGTACCATCACTTTGAGCCTTAGGGCTTCAGCATCAGATGCTGGTAGGGACACCGACATCCAGTCCATCATAACATTGACCAATGTGGGAGCAATAACAGGTATTTGGACATCACCTCAGGGCCACTCAGCAAGCGAAAGCATATAATGGACATTCTATTCTGCTCTTGAGTTATTTTGGCTGGCCAGGGATTTAAGGTCCAAGCATCTAGTAAGGTAGAGATGGTGTGCAGAGGTATTTATTAGTGACCTATTGCTGAGTAACAAACGGCTACAAACGTTATCTCAGTACGTTTGGGTCCGGGTTCCAGGCACGGCTACTGCAGGCTCCCCTCAGGGTCTCCAGGCCGCAGTCAGAATTCCTTCCAGGGCTGCCTTTGCCTCTAGAGCTCGGTTCTCTCCCAAGCTTGCGTGGTACCAGATTCCACTTCTTTGCAGGTGGGGGAGTGAGGTTCCCCCTTGCTTTCTGGCTGTCACCTGCAGCTGCTCTCTGCTTCTAGATCCCCCCTCCCCAAGTTCTTGACCACCTGGCCCCTTCTCCAGCCCTCCCACAGCATGGCAGTTTCCTAAGGTGGAGTCTTATATAATGTGACATGTTCACAAAAGTGACTTCCCATCACCTTTGCCATATTCTGTGGGCTAGAGGAAGTCACAGGTTCCACCCACACTGCTCAGAGCAAACAAAGTAACTCATTAAAGGTCACCTTGTGGTATGTCCTGTCCTCACAGGTTTATGGGTCTCTCTACCTAGAATTCTGCTCCCCCTCCTACTTCATTCCAATTCATCCTTCAGTTACCGACTGAGATGTCGATTTTGACAGGAATCCTTTCTGACATTCTTCGGGTACCCCATCCCAAAAGCTCACCCCACAACTGGGTTGAGCCCCTCCTCTGTCATCTCACCTCATCCCATTTTGGGCCCAGTTGTAATATCTTGTCATTGCCTGTGGATTTCTCTACAGTTCCCCAGTGGAGAATGTGGCGTTACTTGTTTGTTCTACACACGGCACATAGTAGGAGCTCAATCAGTGGCACAAGGATGCCATGCGTTTAATCACGCAAGGAAGACTTCTAAAGAAGGTGGCGCAGGGGCAGCTCTTGGCAGTATAATGTAGTCTGCTTTGATTTCTTTCTTTTTTTAACTAGAACGATATTCTGTTCTCTATAAACTGATGTCCTCCTCCCATCTCACTGCTTGATATGGCATAGTAGCATCAAAGATCACAATGACTCAGCCAGCCAGTAACAGTCCCTGCTGAGCTCTGAGGATTCAGTGTAGCTTCACTTACAACTTTCCTTATGGGAGCCCAGCCCAAGCCAGGCTTGGGAGCCGGCATAGCACAGGGGACACAGAGACATAAAGACATGGGCATGGCCCTCCGTTTACTGTGCTGCTGGGGGAGAAGACATCCACATACAAATGAAGAGGCATCCTTTAAGGAATGAGAACACAGGTTCTCCAGGAGAGAGCTCCCCGTGGGCTGACATGATCAGGGAAGTAGTCAAAAAGAGGAGTCTTTAAAGAAGACTTAAGTTGTGATTGGTAAAACATTGGAAGAAGAAGTAGGGAGGAAGCTTATCAATTCACAGAAAGTTAGGAAGTAAATGGAAACAGAGCATGCAAATAGTGTACACTAAGTAGCTTTGGCCTTAACCGGCCACCATTTGACTTAATTATACAATTAGCGTGTGTGTCGGTCAGTATTGCTGCCAGAATATCTTTGCATTTAAAGCCTTGAGCCTCTGATGAGCATCTGGATTTTCTGGTAATTTCTGCGATTATAGGAAGAAGACTGTACAAAAAACTACTTAGGAGCATTACTTGTGGTGGTTTTACAAATACTGGGGGACCCAGGGCAGGAGTAGGTAAGCCCGTGGGTCACAGGTGGTCGGATTCTTTCGTTCCTTTTTTGGCCCAATGTCTGGGAGCAGGCAGAGCAGAGTCTGGGAAAATGTGCCATCAAGAGGACATAACACGTCATGATAGACCAGGATCAACCACAGGAGCGTAAATTACAAAATCATGAGTGAGAGAGGCTGTCATTCAGCTCCCTCCCCCAACCAAAATGCCCTCATGCTGACCATTCATAGAAAAGCATAAAAATATTTGGCACTAGTTTTGTTTGTTTGTTTGTTTTTAGGGAACTTCTTATCCGTGTATTAAATCTGAAATTGCATAATTAAAAGGTTGATTGAGGGATTATTTTTTTCAAAAATATTTTTTCAACAGTTATTAACGTTGAGAAACAGCCGTGCGAAAAAGAGGCACTCTGATCCCTCCCCCATGCGCCCCCTGAAAGCAGGCCGTGACTCTGTGACTCTCCCGGGTGAGAGGGTCCGCCCTACAAGGAGGAGGAAGGCATCCTTATCACCAGAGGCGGGAGTCAAGGCTGGGGAGGCTGCGGGAAGAAACTAGTTCCTTCGCTAGTTTGTTGCCCCAAACACGCCTTTGCTTTGTCTAATCGTCACCAGTAATTGTCTCTGTGCCTAAAACTGGCATCTGAGCTGCCTGCTCTGGTTACTTCGGGGCCCATTTCTGTGAGACCGCCATGTGGACGTCATTATATTTGTTTTTCCTCCTGTTAATCTGTCTTGAGTCAGTTTAATTGTTAGATCAGCCAAAAGGACTAAGAAGGGCAGGGAGGAAAACTTTCCCTCCTTGACTGTATAAATACTGAATCATTATGATGTCCACCTGAAACTAATTTAATGTTATGTGTTAGTTTATTCCTCTGTAAAAAAAGTAACAAGCCCTTCCCCACAGGGAGAGGAAAGCATGGGGCTGGAAAGCGTGGCTGTGTGTGCTCAGAGCAAAGTTAAGGCGAGGGGAGAAACGGCCTAACACTCCCTGCCGGCCCTTCCTCCCCCAACCCCCCCCAAATATCTCTGACTCAGAGATGCCTGCCTTCTACCAGCCACCTGCCTTGGATCTGACATGTCACTCCCTCCTGGACAGGTCTTCCTTCGAGAATCCTTGGAGCAGAAACTGGAGAGGCTGCGGGAGGAGGAAGTTACCCGGGCGGCCATGGTTATCCGGGCCCACGTCTTGGGCTACTTGGCACGGTAAGAAGCATCGGTGGAGAGGTGTTAAGCTCCATGCGGCCTTCCCAATGTAATCCATCAGGTGGGATAGGCTGGTCGAGTGCTTTTCCTTAAAGGGGACCTGGATGGAAGGTTAGGATAGGTGAAGGAGAGCCCCAGGTCAGCGCTCCTGTCTCTCAATGCCAGGTGCCTATTTAGCTTGCCCTTGGCAGAGAGTAGGAAAGGGGGCCCCTAACGTCTCGATTAGAGCACTGGGATTAGGGAACCGTGCTGAGATGCTTAAATTGCTTCGCCAGTTCATCTTCCTGGCATATGGAAGCCAGAGGCAGCCTGGCTGTTAACTTTGGTATTTTGGCTGTTGATATTGGTGTCTTGTTGGGTCCACAGAGGCCCACCTTCAGTGTTTACCAAAGAAGGCAGCATCTCTTCGTGTGCGGCTGAGTTCTGTCCACCTCTGTGGCCCAGCATGCCACCCGTGACCTCACACTGTTACATGTTCTGCAGTCCAAAGCTGTCCTGCTGTGGCGAGTTTTTTGTTGTTATTTTCCCCCCCTTCGTCAGAACAGGGGGATATATCTTTTTAAAAATCCCTTTTGGTCCTGTTTACAACCCAACTTCCTGCCAGAACTTTTCAAAGTCAGCATTAGGGATTAGGTATGTGTTTATTTTCAGCCAAGATCATGATAGGGTTCTGGCTTTACTTTTGTTTGTTATTATTCTTTTGTTTTTCTTCTGCCTTGGTTTTGCCCAAAGGAGCCTCCTGTTCGAGACATACTCTATAATGAGAGCATCTTCCCAAATGAGGTCCTGTTTTGTCTCGTGGCACCAACGGAAACTCACTCGAAGGGCTCGAAGCCTCATTGCCTCCACAGTTATTCTGTTGTGCTGTTTTTGTTTTCATTTTCAGAAAGCAATACAGGAAGGTCCTTTCTTGTGTGGTGATGATCCAGAAGAATTACAGAGCCAGAAGCAGGTCCGAGGTCAGATGGCCCGGCGGGTGTACAGACAGCTGCTGGCGGAGAAGCGGGAGGCGGAAGCAAAGAGGAGACGGGAGGAAGAGGAGAAGAGGAGGCGGGAGCAAGAGGAAAGGTATGTTGCCTTTGGGTGACACAGAAGGACACCTGTTGAGTTGGAGGCTCGGTACCCATCCTTACCCAGGGGTTCCCCATGGATGCTGCCAAACCTGCTGGTGGAAACAGTAGCTTCTGGTGGCTCAAATGGAAAATTTCTTGGCGGCATTGAGAAGCTGGTTCTGTGTGTGTTTTTATTTCATGCACAGAATAAATATATTGCGAAAGGAAGAGGCCCCATCCATCATGCTTTCTAAGTTGTCTCAGCAAAGCTTTTTAAAGAAAAGTAGCTGTCTCTGACAAGTGGTTCTGGGATTTTTTTTTCCATCATGTTTGTTTATTTTCACTGTCTTTTCTTTGCTGTTTTTAGAGAAAGAGAGAGGGCACGAAGAGAAGCTGAGCTCCACGCCCAACAGGTGACAAATGCAGTGACAATGTGGCATCTCATCCGTCGGTTTCCTTCCCACTTCAAACACTTTGACTCAGAGTGTCTTCCTATAGAGATGTAGGAAGAACATTGGGAGAGATGTTTATGGTGCAATTTCTAAGCCAGTACAGTGGGGTGAAAATTAGTGCATGTCTAAGATTTTAGTGTGAATCATGGCAGCATAACTTCTCTAAACCAACGCAGTCACTGTGTTACTGTGCTCGGGCTGCCATAATGAAGCACCACAGCCCGGGTGGGTTAAACAATAGAAATTGATTTTCTCACCATTCGGAGGTCTAGAAGTCTAAGATGAAGATGTCGGAGGTTTGGTTTCTTCTGAGGCCTGTCTTCTTAGCTGGCAGGTGCCCACCTCCTTGCCGTGTTATCATATGGTCTTGCATCTGTGCCTGCGTCCCTGGTGTCCCTCTGTGTCCAATCTCCTCTTACAGGGACACCAGTCAGGTTGGATTAGGGCCCCACCTCACAACCTCCTAACTCAATTGCCTCTTTAAAGGCTCCGTCTCCAAATACAGACACATTCCGAGCTCCTGGGGGTTAGTTAAGGCTTCCACATGTCAACTTGTGGGTGGTGATCACCATGTTAGCCCAAAACAGCATGTGGTGGTTCATTACTGCAGAGGAGGAGTGATGCTTGTCCTCTTGTTGCTGACACCTAACGCCTGCTTCCCCTCCGTCCAGGAGGCAGCGAAACGGAAGCGGCAGGAGCTGGAAGCCTTACAGAAGAGCCAGAGGGAAGCTGAACTCCACCGGGAGCTGGAGAAGCAGAAGGAAAACAAGCAGGTGGAAGAGATCCTCCGCCTGGAGAAAGAAATCGAGGACCTGCAGCGCATGAAGGAGCAGCAGGAGCTGTCCCTGACCGAGGCCTCCCTGCAGAAGCTGCAGCAGCTGCGCGACCAGGAGCTCAAGAGGCTGGAGGACGAGGCCTGCCGCGCCGCCCAGGAGTTCCTGGAGTCACTCAACTTCGACGAGATCGACGAGTGCGTCCGCAACATCGAGCGCTCGCTGTCGGTGGGCAGTGAGTTTTCCGGGGAGCTGGGCGACCTCGCCGAGAGTGCGAGTGGGGAGAAGCCCACCTTCAACTTCAGCCAGCCCTACCCGGAGGAGGAGGTGGACGAAGGCTTCGAGGCCGAGGACGATGCCTTCAAGGACTCGCCCAACCCCAGCGAGCACGGCCACTCGGACCAGCGAACAAGTGGCATCCGGACCAGCGACGAGTCCTCGGAGGAGGACCCCTACATGAATGAGACGGTGGTGCCCACCAGCCCCAGTGCCGACAGCACCGTGCTCCTGGCCCCCTCGGAGCAGAGCTCCTCCAGCGGGGAGCCCACCTACTGCCTGCCCCAGAACGCGGGGGGCCTCCCCTCCCCGGAGGGCGACTACGACTACGACCAGGACGACTATGAGGATGGCGCCGTCACCTCCAGCAGCAGCGTGACCTTCTCCAACTCCTACAGCAGCCAGTGGTCCCCAGACTACCGATGCTCCGTGGGGACCTACAACAGCTCCGGGGCCTACCGCTTTAGCTCCGAAGGGGCGCAGTCCTCGGTGAGTACCCTCTACCCTGGGACCCCGGCTGCCCCCCACGGAGATAGGAGCTGTCCTGAGCCACACCCCTGCTGCTCCATCCCTTGGACCATGCCAGGATTTCAGAGTCAGGCTCTTAAAGCCGATCTCAAACCACTTTCTCTTCCCCGAGGCAATGGGATTAGTAAATGGAACTTGGATGTGTCTGTTGTAGATCAAACACAAAGCCCAGCACTGCATTTTGCCCAAAGCCTAAGGAGACTTTGGCTGTGTCTGTCCCTGCTTTGCAGCCAGTTGGGAACCGAGACCTACCCTGATTGGAACCAGAAGAGCCAAGGGCATTTTGGAGAACTCTCCTCACAGTAGCTTCACAGTCCCCACCACAGGATGTCCTAGCTTGTTCTGGTTAGAAGGGAGGAATCTTTCAGGGCTAAACATGCCCTTTCCAGCGTCTACATTTATTTATCACTTATTTTTAACCCCACCCTACCCTTACCCCCTTGTTGACCATGCATTGAATACTGCCTTGACTTTCTAAGATTTGGTATTTTTAGCTTGGTAATTTAAAGGGAGTTAACTCTTGCATGGTTTGATGAAAATTAGGCCTTTCCACAGCAGTGTTGTTTTTCAAGTAGATGGCTTTTGGGTTAAAGTGTGCCTAGCATTTTTTGTATCCGTGCAAGGGGCCATGTGAATGTTTTGGCGACCATGTCACTGTAATGTTATGAACTGTGTGTCGCTTCTTTGTCGGTGGTTTTTATTTTTCTTGATGCTGGTAGATGCTGGGCCCATTTGTGCCTGCTCTCTGGTTTTCTTGCTCACTATTGCTCTCTTCTTCTTGTCCAGTTTGAAGACAGTGAAGAGGACTTTGACTCGAGGTTCGACACAGACGATGAACTTTCCTACCGGCGGGACTCTGTGTACAGCTGTGTCACGCTGCCTTACTTCCACAGCTTTCTGTACATGAAAGGTATGAGCTGCAGCTACCAGGGCCATGGGTCTGGGTGGAGTGATGGGATGTTGAGATGGTGTTTTCACTGAGGCTGATTGAGGGGGTTGGAAATATCACCCTACCTACCCCTCACCTGGTGTCAGGTTCCCTAGCTGCGTGGAGGATGCCATGGTGGTGTGACATGGCTGACACGGTAACACCAGGGAGAACATTGCCTCGGCTCCCCTCCATTGGTGCAGTGTCAGGACAGAGTTGACAGCCACGGTTACCAGTGATGAGAGTTACAGTTGGACATTGTGATTGCTGTTGAACTTGGGATGTACTGCACTGCACCTTACTTCTTGGGGACCTTGCGCAAAGGGAAAGCACATGCTCCTTTGGAAAGTACATACATCTCTGGAAATGACCTTATACTCGTGCCTGATTCAGGATCCACTCTGACCTCTGATTGAGTGACCAAGGTCATGAGAAACCATAATTGTCACCAGGTTTTGATAGGAGCTTCACATGGATCATTAGGAAAGGGTGCCGTCATGTTTCTCGCAGGGCCCTGGACTGGATGAGGGGAAAGAGGCCAAATCTTGGGTATAGGGCAGGGGAGACAGGAACCATGGTCCCCAGATGATGTCCTTCACTTTGTGGCCTTTTCTTTTCTCCCATTTTCTGTTTCCCCAGGATCCAGTTTTTTGTTTTCTCTGCCCCTTTTCTTCACTTTTTCTATGACCATCTTTATTCACTTTTCCTTTTCTTTTTCACTCCATGAAAAACTTGATTCTGTGTTCCTGTTCTCTGTTTCTTCTGCTCTTTGCCTGTGCTTCTCTCTTCTATCAGCATACTCCCCACCCCCCTCCCCCTGCCCCCATGTCTCTTTTGTCCTCAATATTTTTTTTTATTCTTACGCTTTTCTTTTATTTGGTTTTACCCCCCTACTTCTGCACCCCTTCTTCAAAACTGGTCTGGCGACTAACACCAGTCCTGCTTTTCTCAGCCTCCAATCCCCAAGGTGCGCATGGAAACCACCAGGTTTGTTTTAGGGGGATCTGCCTATTGCTTGAAGTCACTGGTTGGTGAAAATTTTTATAGGAGCCTTAGGATGACAAAGATTGAGAAAGTCCAGCCAGGTGACCTAGTTAGCATTGGATCACTCGATAAAGAACAACAGGTAATCAAAAATCAGGACCTAATAATCCAATAACTATATAACCATAGCTATTAAGATTTTTCGCATCCATCTCTCAGAATAAATATAAGCTTTTTATTATTAATGTATTTCCCTCTCCCAATTAATTATAGTTCCTAAGTTAGCTTTAAGATTTCCTATATCAGTATAGCACTCTTATTTATAGACTAGTGACACAGTGTGTGAAATTTGTGCACGGAGGGGAGGAGGTTTCCTCAGCCCAGCCTGCACTGTCTCCAATCGGGGATCTCTTGGGGGATGTCCAACTGCTGGCAGTCAGACATCCCTCTCACAACCTGGGACTGCTAGCTCCTAACCGCTCACCTGCCTGCCTGCCTGATCCCCCCTAACTGCCCTCCCCTGCAGGCCTGATCTCACCCTCAACTGCCCTCTTCTGCCAGCCAATTTGGTTGTGATTTATTGGTTTCTATGCCAATCAGCATCAAAAGCTCGGCCTCCTAGCTAGCCATTGGCTCCTCACACTTCACCCAGATTTGGTTCTGATTGGTTGGTTTCTATGCCAGTCAGCGTCTCTGGACCTATAGCAGGGCCTGATCAGAAAGGCGAGGCTGATCAGCAGCCCTGGTGGAGGCCTGGAGATAAATGGAGGCACAGCTGCTGGCCCAGCCCAGAGAGAGAGAGGCAAGTACTGATCAGTAGCTGCGGATCAGACCCTGCTTCTCTCTTCAGGCCTCTCTCTGGGCCTGATTCACAGCCCCCTCAGCAGTCAGTGTTGGGTCACTGCGCCTGCAGCCGCAGCAGTCAGTGCTGGGTCGCCACGGCAACCCAGCGCTGATTGCAGGACTGACTTCCGGTTTATTGAGCCCCCGGTTATGACAGACACAGGGTTTTTATATATTAGGATGTGGCATTGACTTAATACATAGTTGTCTGATTAAGACAAATGACATTAGGAAAAAGTAAACATGCATTCAGAGCATTACATTTCAACATTAAAGCATTAAAAAGCTCAAGAAGGTAAACAAGTGAATTTTTGGCAAACTCATCTCTTAAAAAAAGTCATTGTGTAAATGCATCATTAAATCTAAATAAAACTGTTGTCAGAAGATCAAGAGAAACCATCCTATATAATAAAAGCCCAGTGACCAAAACGGCGGAATGGCCAGAGACCAGAATGACCACATTCTTCACCCTGGCTGGCCCTGTCCCCCAGCGAGCGGTTAGAGGCGATCAGGCAGGCAGGAGAGCAGTTAGGGAGGATCAGGCAGGCAGGCAGAGGCGGTTAGGAGCGATCAGGCAGGCAGATGAGTGTTAGGGGTGATCAGGCAGGTAGGCATAGTGGTTACGGGTAACCAGGCAGGCTGGTGAGTGGTTAGGGATGATCAGGCAGGCAAGTTGAGTGGTTAGGGGTGATCAGGCAGGCAGGCAGGCAAGCAGTTAGGAACCAGTGGTCCCAGATTGCAAGAGGAATGTCCAACTGCCAGTTTAGGCTCGATCCACAGGGATCTCTGTGGGATTGGGCCTAAACCAGCAGTCGGACATCCCCCAAAAGGTCCTGGATTGAGAGAGGGAGCAGGCCAGGCTGAGGGGCCCCGTTTTCCACCTCCTGTGCACAAATTTTGTGCACTGGGCCTCTCTAGTTAATAGAGAAAATCTAACCACCAGCCTATTCATCTACCAAAGGTGTTTGCAGTTGGACATTAATAGCATTGCATCAAATTCTCTAAATGAAGGATTGTTGAGAGAGCATCCAGAACTGCAGTGGAAGGACTGGGAACAAGTCCTATTAACAGCATAAGACAGTGATGACGAACCTATGACATGCGTGTCAGAGGTGACACGTGAACTCATTTTTTTGGTTGATTTTTCTTTGTTAAATGGCATTTAAATATATAAAATAAAATATAAGTCTTTGTTTTACCATGGTTGCAAATATCAAAAAATTTCTATATGTGACACGGCACCAGAGTTAAGTTAGGGTTTTTCAAAATGCTGACATGCCAAGCTCAAAAGGTTCGCCATCACTGGCATAAAAGCCACAGAGTGAATACACTAGCAGTGGGGGCTATGGTGATAACTGATCTAATCTGTCTTTGAAACAACTGTGAATAACCTTTATCATTTAAAGGCAATAAGATAATAGAATAACTTTGTATTACGGTTTCCTCTGGACTTGTTTGAGAAACCCAGACTGAAGTCACAAATCAAAAAGAAAAGGAAGTCTTGGTAGTCTTTGGCAAGTTTGCTGCTTGCTAGGAAATGGCTCTGGAGCTTGGCATGACCACAAAGACTCCTCAGCCAGGTGAGCAAGCAGAGCTCGAGATACTAGAAAAGGCGGCAGCTTGTATTGCTCAACGAAGCAGGTGCGCTCTGCACACCAGACAAAGGCAGGCAGTGTTGTCATTGCCTTATCTGTTCCAATGTGAGATTTGGATCTATAATCATTGAAGAAATTAATCTGAGGTCCTTTATTTAAATTTATTTCTAATGTGGAAAAGAAAAATACCTTCTTTATACTTACTTTCAATATCAGTGTTTAAATGTCTCTTACTTTTAATTACTGGCTAGTTAAAAAAGATGTGATTTTATAATAAACTATTGAAGTAGATTATGTTCTTCAGTGGATACATTAAAACAGATTTTTAATATATATATTTTTATTGATTTCAGAGAGGAAGGGAGAGAGAGAGAGAGAAAGAAACATCAATGATAATAGAGAATCATTGATTGGCTGCCTTCTGCATACCCCCCTCCCCGCCCCCCAATACTGGGGATCAAGCCCAATACCCAGGCATATGCCCTTGTTCAGAATCGAACCTGGGACCTTTCAGTCCACAGACCGACACTCTGTCCACCGAGCCAAACCAGCTAGGGCTAAAATAGATTTTTGAATGATGGCAGTAAGAGTGTCCTTGAAAAGTCTAGACTACTAAGATAAAATTGTCCTGCTAGAAAGGTCTTAGAAATATTTTTTATCTTATCAAAGATGACATCTGTATATCTTTGTCTCCTTGTATAATTTTGCTCAACCAAAAAAACAAAAAAAAACAATGTCCCACTAAATAAGTTATAGCTAACCTCATTTTTTTAGGTCTAATTACAGTTCACTTTGGAGTCTTACTTTATTTCATATTCTAAATTGTATACCTTATACATGTTGTGTTCAGATGCTGCTTTTTTCTTTAAGATATGTTTATCTAAAAAAGTGTATTTTATTTTCCTATGTAAGTTAGAGTTTATTGCTAAACTAGCTACAAAATCACTGACAAGTCATGTTATGTTGACCAAACAGGAAGGAATGTATAAACTGAAACCATTTTAAACTAATTTCCCCTCTGGGGCATTTGAAGGTAAACATACAGAAGTGGTTCTCGTCCCATGGCCCTGACTCATTGCAAGGTTAGATGTCAGTCATCATAAGAAAGGGACAACATCCTTGTATCATCCAGCCAAGCTAGTGTAATATCAAGCCAGCACCCCCTGAACAAGCCAGCACCCCCTGAACAAGCCAGCACCCCTGAACAAGCCAGCAGTGCCACCGTCCTTCATTGAGGGGTGTCTGAGGGCAGGTCACGTGTGGCAAAAGAAAGGACAGGCCGAACCTTAAGACCAACTGATATTGTCATCGAATTTAATTGGCTTTTCTTAAACCCCTCCCTACCCAATCTTGGGGGGAACAGGTGGCCTAATGAACTCCTGGAAACGCCGCTGGTGTGTCCTGAAGGACGAGACCTTCCTGTGGTTCCGCTCCAAGCAGGAGGCCCTCAAGCAAGGCTGGCTCCACAAGAAAGGCGGCGGCTCCTCCACGCTGTCCAGGAGGAACTGGAAGAGGCGCTGGTTCGTCCTGCGCCAGTCCAAGCTGATGTACTTTGAAAACGACAGCGAGGAGAAACTCAAGGGCACCGTGGAAATCCGGACGGCAAAGTAGGTTGATGAGCCTTGGATGTGGCCCAGTGGGTGGTGCTCTGGGGCAGCTGGATCATCTGTGCTGGTGCCTACAAAGCCAGCCTGTGTGAGTTCGCTGCGGCAGGGGGCTGTAATAGGGGTCGAGTGCGTCCCAACCATTCACTTCAGTGGCGTGCTTGATGAGGAAACGAGGGGAAGGACTTCATCGTGAACAGGTCACTTCCTGTGGTTACATTCAAACATTTGGTTCTCGTTTGTAGAACCAAACGAGAGATCAAATGAACTCCTAAAGTCATGAGTCCTGAAAACTCATGAAACTAGCCCACTAGAGCCATGATTGGTTGTTTGCAGGGATCCTGGTTGAACGATTGGCTGAGAATCTCTTTATCATTCTTTTATTGGTCAACATACCACTTTCAATTCTCGTACACTCCCAGCTGTGCCAACAGATTGCAGAATTGGGAGCCGACTGCCAATCTGGAGGTGTTTTTATGTTTTGGGGTTTTTTTTTGTCCTGTGTTGTTTTAAAGATATAGTTGACATATCAGTTATATAGCATTATATCAGTTTCAGGTACACAACCTAGAGATTTGGTATTTGTATATATTGCAAAATGATTATCAGCCCATAGTTAGGTATTTTTTCTTGTGATAAGAACTTTTAAGATCTACTTTCTTAACAGCTTTCAAAATATGCAATATGTGTTATTGACGATAGTCACCATGCTGTACATTGCATTCCTTCAGCTTATTTATTTTATAACAGAGTTTTTACTTTTGACCATCCTCACCCATTTTTTTTGTACTTGGTGATCACCTTCCCCACATGAGGTGGTTTTTGAAATGAAGCATTTGTCTTCTACTCATGGTGGCTATATACCATCTTCTTTCTCAGCAGTGAGCGAAGCAGAGCTGGTCTTTGAACCCAAGAAGACCCCTTTCTCTGTCGCCCTCTTGGTGCAAAGCATTTGAGCGCCTATTATTTTTGTTAAAAATTAAGTAAGGTTTTTCAGCCCTAGCCGGTTTGGCTCAGTGGAAAGAGCATTGTCCTATGGACCGAAGGGTCTCAGGTTCGATTCCTGTCAACAGCACTTACCTCGGTTACAGGCTCAATCCTTGGCCCTAGTCAGGACTTGTGCAGGAGGCCACCATTCGATGTGTCTCTCTCGCATCAGTGTTTCTCTCTCTGTCTGTGCCATCCCTTCCACTCTCTTTAAAAATAAATGGAAAAATATCCTCGAGGTGAGGATTTAACAACAATAAATACATAAATACATACATACATACATACATTACATACATACATACATACAGTGTTTCCAAATCCCCTTTGTAAAAAAAAAAAAAAGTAAGATTTTCAGAAAATGTTGGAGTTATGGGCAGCTGGAAACTGGATGCTAAGCATAAAATTTGTTTAGCATGACCTGTGGCCATACCCCACTTGAGCAACCTCATGTATTTAGAAAACTGGTAATATAAGCTTAGAGAGATCAAATGAACTCCTAAAGTCATGAGTCCTGAAAATAATCATCCAGCCTGATCAGCTTTAGAAAGTGATTCATGAAAAAGTGGAACGTTAAACAAGAAGAGGAAAGGGTTTGGGGTATTTACAGACAGATAATGAAATGCAGACAGCAGAGGGCTGGACTTCTCCGGGCTGCCTCTGGGCTGCGTTCATTGTAGGAGCCCATGCTCTGTTTGAACCTGAATCCCCCAAGCAGTTTTCACAGATGGCACAGCTCTTTGCCTCATGCAGTCCTCCCTCAGCCCTGTAGGCCATGATGTTCCTCTTTATTCACCCCGTAGGAGGGGGGCCCACTGATGCCAGGAAGCTGCGAGAAGCATGTGGGTCGTGGTCTTGGGTTTTACACTTTGTATGTTATGTTGTATGTTCCTTTCTCACCTCACTCTGCTGCTTAATAAAGTCCTGTTCCTCGGATATTTGTAAAAGTTTCAGACTTGAGGAAATGTTAGCTCTTAGCCATTTCTGTCACAGGCTCTAGAGCAGTGGTTCTCAACCTGTAGGTCACAACCCCTTTGTCGTTCGAACGACCCTTTCAGTTGGTGCCAGTTCTCTACCCTCAGGGGTCGCCTAAGACCATCCTGCGTATCAGAAATTTACATTATGATTCATAACAGTAGCAACATTACAGTTATGAAGTAGCAACGAAAATAATTTTATGGTTGGGGTCACAACATGAGGAACTAACTGTATTTAAAGCCCAGAAGGTTGAGAACCACTCCTCTAGAGGCAGGGCATGAGTTGTTAGGGTTTCACCATATTAGGATTCTTTATTAAGATTAAGATTTTTTATTTCCTATTTTGAAATGTTTTATTATAGAAAACTCCAGTCACATGCCAGAAGAAGAATATAATGAAATCCATGCACTCACTGCCCAGCTGTTAGCAGTTACCCACCATGGCCATAGTGTTTCGTTCATAACCCCACCCCACACTGCTCCCCTTACAAACTGCATTCTGTAAAGCAGCTTCCTGACATCCTGTAATGTCCTCTGTAAATATTTTAGTATACACTTGAAGATTAAGGCTCTTTTTAATATATCATCATGATCTTATTGTAACATTTAAAAATAACATTCACTCCTTATCATTTAAACTCGAATCATTGTTCAGATTTCCCCGGTCTTCTTATAAATGAAGTGTTCTTGATGGTTTGGGTTGGTTTATCTCTTCATATTAGAATCCCAGTAAGGCTTATAATTTTCAGACAGATCTCTCAAGTCCATTAATGTATAAATTCCCCCTCCATCTTCCTTTCCCGTACTACCTATTATTGAAGATGCTACCTCATTTATCCTGTAGTTTCCAGACCACATTTCTTGTTGACCGTGGTCTTGATAACGTCATCTTACCCCATCTCCAAAGGCAAGCCCAGGGTCCCACCCGCAGAGGGCTCCCGCCTGTGTTTTCTGATGTTTCCCAGGACTTAGGACCACGCCTTGTAGCGTCTTACCCCCTCAGCACTCGAGGTTGCCGACTGAGTTCCTGTGGGGCAAAGTGGCTAATCCAGGACGGCCTGTCGGGACAGCTTTGCCTGGGGATTATCCTCCTGCTCCAGGCTCCTGGCTGGTCCCTCCCCACTGCTCACTCTCACCTGCCACTTGGAAGAGGCATCCCAGACCACTCTGTAAAGACTCATCTTCTTGTTTAATATTTTATCTCATCTCAGTGATTCTATCTATAAGGTTATCCATTTATTTTTTTCTATCCAGTCTGACTGTTTAGTTTTGTAGATGTAAAATAAATCTTGTACTGTGAATAGTTGTACTATTCCAGTTATCAAAGCAAGCTGGCTTTATCCCCAAGATCCCTCTTCAAATATTGCCCTCCCTGGGCCAATCCTTACTCGGCTGGTGTTTTATCTGAATGTTGTTAGCCCCGTCCACCGACTTGAAACCTCTAGGGCTGTTTAGGGAGTGTTGGGATGACACCTCAATCCTGCTCTTGGCCCCCAAATCCCCATGGAAACAATGACGCTGTGTCAGGTTGAGTACAGCAGAGGTGTCAGCCAAGGCCTCGAACCCCAGCGGAAGCTGTGATGAACCGGGAAAGAACTTTGGCCAGCCCGGCCCCCTATGGGGGTCCTTCCATTGAAGAGCTGTGAGAGGAACCACAGGAAGGGAAGGCCCGAGTGAGGCTGCTGCCCCAGCCATCTGGGGCCTGAGCAGGGCCAGGCCTTGTGAGGCCAGTGTGAGAGGAGAGAGGCCCCTCCCTAGAGAAAACTAGGAAACAGTCCTTCTGCCCGCCTCTGCAGGAGAGAGGAGTCTGGCTCCCCCTAGAGGCCGCATGAGGCTTAAATAGGTGTCCAGCTCAGTCATCAGTTTGGTGAAATTGCTTTTCTCACTAATTGCTAAGAATTCTGTGTTCCTGACTTGCTATTGGCACTTTTTCCCCCTGCAGAGAGATCATCGATAACACTAGCAAAGAGAACGGGATTGATATCATTATGGCCGATAGGACCTTCCACCTGATCGCCGAGTCCCCCGAAGATGCCAGGTAAGGCGGGCGCTGTGGCATCCACCTCACTGTAACTACCTCCTCACTCCTGCACAGACCTGGGCGTCACCAGATCACTGCTTACCCACTGGCTCTGAAAAGATCTGATTGATTTCTCAGTGGCATCTTTCTGTTAGGATGGGTGAAGGACTGTTGAGTCATAAGAGACTGCTGTGCTTGTCCCCTGGGGAATTCTTCGCTGAGCAGACCTGTCCACGTACAACACCCCGTTCAGGATTCCCAGCTTCGAGTGCCACCTGCCGGACCCCTGTCATCCCAGCTTAGGTGTTTAGTGTCACCAGCAGCCTGTGTAAACCGCAGCTACCCCAGCTGAGAGCCCGGCCTCCCGGAGCTTCTGAGCTCTGAAAGGGAACAGCTGGTGTTTGCTGAAGGATTGAAGAGGCAGGAGCATCAACCACCGGCTCTTTAGACGGATGAGAGTGCAGTGACATTTGGAAGGTGTTTAGTCTTGATACGGAAGAATTCAGTAGGGTAGAAGAGACAGTTAACACGTAGAGAATTTTAGTACAGTGAGGCCTTGACTTACGAGTTTAATTCGTTCCGTGACGGAGCTCGTAACTCAAATTACCCGTATGTCAAATCATAAAGTGAATGAGTGAGACACGTGATGCTGGGCTGATGTGGCGTTCACTGTGACATTCGCTGTGCCAACTAGCGGTGGGGTATCTGAAGCTGGCTCGTAACCCGAATTTTAGCTCAAAACTCAAAGCAAAAAATCGGCCGAGAGATGGCTCGTATCTCGAAAAACTTGTTGGTCGGGACACTCGTAAGTCAAGGCCCCACTGTATTTCAGGCTGTATTCTAAAGTCTGTAGGGTGAGGCTGGCGATCTCTGTCATCCACTCTGAGCAACGCCAGAGAAGACCTTCCAGTTTATGAGGGTCAGGCCGTATTCTAAAGTCTGTAGGGTGTGGCTGGCGATCTCTGTCATCCACTCTGCGCAACGCCAGAGAAGACCTTCCAGTTTATGAGGGTGACATCCTTCAGCCGACATTCTTCCCTTTCCAGCTCACAAATCACAGCTCTGCCCTTTGAACGCTTCTGTGTTGACACAACACCATGGCGAAAGGCATGAAGGGCAAAGAAAACACTAGTAGTTCTTCCCCCCGGGACAACCTGCCACCCTGCCGCTGGATTACAGGCTCAGCACTTGGCAGCTGCCCGGTTTGTTTTGTGCCATGATGAACCTGCTAAATTTAACATTTGGAATATTTTAGCCAAGGACTTTTTCCCCTGACCAGTGGAACGCATTTTTTAAAGTTTCTTTCAAAGCCCAAGTTACTCTGTACTGATTGAAAACTTGGCAGATTTTGTTTCTTTGATGTGTGCATGTGCATGCGTGCATGCGTGCGTGCGAGAGAGAGAGAGAGATCCCTGTGGCCTCCATCTTGCATGTATGTGTTTTTAGTGTTTAATTTGGGATATTTTTGAGCTTCTTCATAAAACGATGACTGCAGTCTTGCCTCTGGGTTAACCAGAGTCAGTGAAGCAAATTGATGTTGGAAGTTTCCGTGTCTCCCTATGTATGTTGAGTCTGTATATGTTGAGTATTTTCAAGCGCATGGTCACATTTTTCTTCTGCAGGAATCCCAGGTGATAGATTTTAGTGCTTTTCTATAATTCACATGGCTTGTCTACATATAGGTGCTACTGTTTTACTTAAATCTCCATGTGTGTTAAGTACTTTCTCCTCTGACTTATTTAGTAGGAGTATGTATGTATGTCTTTTTTCAGTTACAGTTTACATTTCATATTACTTTGTCTTACTTTCAGGTGTACAGCATACTGGTTAGACAGTCATGTACTTTACAGAGGGTCCCCTGATATTTCCAGTACTATTCGCCCCCCACAGGAGAAGGGCGTCCTAGCATCTCTCCTGTTTGGTCCCGCTCACATTTTGTAGCTTAATAAATGTTGGATAGATGGACAGACAGAGGGATAGTCATGGTCATTTTCCTTAAGCATGTATTGAATTTCTAGTTACATCATAACCTTTGTTCTGCTTGACTTTCCTGGGGTTGGCATGTTTTCCTTTATTATCTGATTCTGGTGGAAATGAGGAAACTCTTCCAAAATGAAGATAGGAGAGTTCTCTGATCAAAATAAATGTCCATTTTCAACTTCAAGCAACATTTTCTATTTCCAGCTCTCCTGTGGTTTTCCTCCGGGTGGTTGGGAACCCCATCCTGGGGGTGAGGAGGGAAACTGGACTTCAAGTGCCCATTCTGAGAAGGCCCTACATTACTGGCCTTCTCACCTTGCAGTTTACTTTTCAAAAGTGAAAAAGCACTTGAACATTCCCAGGCTTTAAATAATCTCTTCAATCAGGATTTTTCACAGAATGTTCTGGGTAGAGCAGAGGGTTTCACGTTTCCTGCCAATTTCTCTAGGAACTCATGGTCGTTGTTAAATGTCTGTAAAGGTCTCTGGGACTTGGAGGGAAGCCCTCCCAATGATCTGAAATTGCAACCGCTGGACTGGCGGGTACTTTGGCTCCTTCTCTCAACTTTGCTCCTTGGTGGTGGGAAACCCCATTTGCCCCGACGTGTAAGCAAGTTAATAGCACCATTGGTCGGAGGCCCAGTCGTTCTCCTCCATGTATAAGGGCATTGCTGTGTGCAGATCCAGAGATTGGCCACTGCTGACAGCTGCCCTCTCCTTCCCACAGCCAGTGGTTCAGCGTGCTGAGTCAGGTCCACGCGTCCACGGACCAGGAGATCCGGGAGATGCACGATGAGCAGGCAAACCCCCAGAATGCTGTGGTGAGTGAGCATCCGTGGGGTGGAGGTGATGCCCCGAGGGAGGCGAGGGAGCTGGGAATTTCTAGGCAATCTTTATTTTTAAAAGAACAGTGTAGTAATTAAAGATTAAAATAGGAATATTCTGGCTAAAAAATCATACATAAGAACAGAATAAATTATACACTAGAAGTAGTAACAAGCCATTAAAAGAACAACAACAAAAAAAATCCCAATTTTTACCAAATCATGGGAGCACATTACACTTTTATTACCAGGACTTCGTGGATGTTGAATGGCATTCTGTCTGCGTCTGTCCCAGACACATATACAGAACCATAGAAATCTTATTTTAGAAATAAAGTCTTATCTTTTCGTAAGAAAAACTTAACATCAAAGTTTCTTAGCAGAATAAATGTAAAATTTAGTGACAGATCTTAGTCTAAATTAGAACACTTGTATTATCAAAAGAAGTTCGTAGACACTCCTCGCTGAAGGCACTTCAAGGAAAAGACAGAAAGATTAATTTATAATTTTTTTAATCAGTGACCTGTAGAATCTGCCCTGCCTGGAAGCTGTCTGTACTCACTAAATACCTTCCTTGGGTAACTATCATGTTGCAGTTTACACAAAAAGGAGCCTTTCGCTGGCCTGCTTGGAGGGTCGTGACCTGGGGGTCTTACGGTAAAGAGCTCTGTACCTGAATGGTTCTCTCACGCTCTCTACTTTCTGCTCCATCTGTTCCAGGGCACGCTGGACGTGGGGCTCATCGATTCCGTGTGCGCCTCCGACAGCCCCGACAGGTGAGCTCAGAAGTGACTTTTAACACAAGTAGTTGGTTACCTGCATACGCTCACATCTCTCTCTGCTTTTTTGGACCACCTTCCTCTGTATGGGGCTGTGAGAATGCTCTAAGCCGCATGTTCCCACCGGGTCAACCTCAGCAATCCACAGTCTTCGTTCCTGGTACCCAGTTTTACATCATCTGAAAGTTTTCCTCTTCGTGTCTCTGTGGGAGTGCTGGGGGAGATAGTGAAAACCTAATGTAGACAGTCCATTAAAACAATAAAAAACACATGTTATTGGAGAAATAGTCTTTATTTGGAAACAGCACAAACTCAGGATATACAGGAGGAAAATGCCTACGCAGGAAAACAGTGTTTTTGCACATTTTTCCAGAAAGGGTGTAGCTCCCCTTCCTAAACTTAATAATGAATTCAAGACTGTTTTTTAATATTTTTATTGATTTCAGAGAGGAAGGGAGAGGGAGAGAGAGATAGAAACGTCAAAGCTCAGAATCATTTGATCAGCTGCCTCCTGCACGCTCCCCACTGGAGATCGAGTCCACAACCCAGGCATGTGCCCTTGACCAGAATCTAACTCAGGACCCTCCAGTCCACAGGCTGATGCTCTATCCACTGAACCACGTCAACTAGGCCTGAATTCAAAAGATTTTGATTGGCATTTATATGTAGAGTATTAATAAATTAAACCAGATGCATTTCTTTTCCTTAACGTTTCTACCTTATCTGCACCTTCAGAGTAGCATGCTGTTGGTTTTGGTTTTTGAAGGCATATCGTCTTCAGAGATGGTCTCAGAAGTCCTTGTCCCAGTGACCTCTGCCTTTATCATCTCTGGTTTTCTTTGCTGTTTGTGAATTCTGAGTAAGAATCAAATCAGCTTCTACCTTCAGCAACAGCTTTAGAAAGCGAAATGTATTCAAATTGACAACAAAACTAGTGTCCACTAGGCAGCATCTGAGTTTTGGAGCGTCCATCGCCCTGTTGACGAAGGCTCTCCTGGACCATAGGTCCTTGTTTTGGCTCCACCCTGCGCCTTCCCACACCTGGCTCAGGAACCTGCCACACGTGTGTCAGGCCAGTCAATACCCAGAATCCACATTCTTACTCTGACGGTGGCATTCTGCCTCATCAGTGTCTGTCTGCTCCCAGCCCTTTCATTCCCTCAGGCTGGGCCTGTGAGCCATGCTTAGAACTTCCGTCTCTGCTCCGGCTTGCTCCTCCTCCACTGCCCACCTTTCTCCCTTCCCAACTATAGACAAATCTTTATTGCTAAGGAGCACCTGTCTTTATCTGCCTGCTACACTCTTGTTAATCTTCCTCCCTTTTCCTTGAACTTTCACTGCTGCTAACTACAGTGAACTTGCAAGACAGGCAGTCACTAGCTGACACGGTTAGATAGAGGAATTGGTATGAGCAAGGACCTGTGAGAGGCTCCAGGCACTGAGAGGAAAAAAGTAAATTTCCATTATTATGTTACCCCTGACTGGGAAATGAGCCCTTGTTAGATTGCTTTGAAAACGGGCACAGTGGCTTTTTGTACCTGGCATAATGAAGTGTATCAGATATTCCGTTTACGCCTTTTTACTGATCTTCTTCTAGTACTGGTGTCTGACATTTCATTACCGACCCACAGAAATATTATCCAGGGCAGGACCCAGAGGCAGGAAGAAATTTACTTTGGAGAGGCATCAAAACAAAATTTTCCCCCACGGTCACCTTAGGTAGCCTTCCCGGAAGCCAGTTGCATCTGGAAAGTTTTGCATGAAGACATGTGTTCCCTTCCAGGGCCCTCAGAATGTGTCGCTCCCAGTGAAAAGGTTAACGGTGCATAAAATAAATCCTGCGGAAATGAGCAAGGCCTGCCGTCCTTACCGTAAAATACAAGTAGCGCGGCCGTTTCTGTCCCCATTGACCCATAAGTCCGGAGAAAGGCATGCAGCCCTGGTTCACTCAGAGGGGATGCTCACTGTCCAGCTAAGAGGCTTTGCTCCCTTCTCGCCCTGTCGCTCAGGCCCAACTCATTTGTGATCATCACGGCCAACCGGGTCCTGCACTGCAACGCCGACACGCCGGAGGAGATGCACCACTGGATCACGCTGCTGCAGCGGTCCAAGGGCGACACCCGGGTGGAGGGCCAGGAATTCATCGTCAGAGGTGACTGCCAGCGACGCGTCCCTTTTTCCCGGACTCCTGCTTTCACGTGCATGGGTGTCTGCGGTATTTCCATTTGAGCAGCTTTCCCCAGCCATGTACTGGCTAAACATAGACAGAAACGGCCATGGTCCTTCCTAACAAATCATCTGTAAGCGTCGCGCAGATGATTACCTGGCGTTTGGCGCTTCTCCTCCCAGCTCTCGATTAACACCCTCCTCTTGCTCTGCAGGGTGGCTGCACAAAGAAGTCAAGAACAGCCCGAAGATGTCTTCACTGAAGCTGAAGAAGCGGTGGTTTGTGCTCACCCACAACTCCCTGGATTACTACAAGAGCTCGGAGAAGAACGCCCTGAAGCTGGGCACCCTGGTCCTCAACAGCCTCTGCTCGGTCGTCCCCCCGGACGAGAAGGTTTTCAAAGAGACAGGTAACTGGGGCCGTGTGCCGGCAGCGAGCGGGGCCGAAACAGCGCATCAACTCCTAGGAGTTCTGGGTCTGCTCGGAGCAAAGCAATGAGATTCCTACCAAGAGCGTGTGTGTTTTTGTGGGGGGGGGGGGGCCGGGGGGGGGGGGCAGCTCTTTTCTGGCTGACTTATCTTCTGAGGCTGTCTGTGCTTAGCTATGTGAACAGTTAGTATTTAAACCATCGTAAAGAGGTCTTGATGGATGGAGTTGCAGAAAGAGTCTTCTGAGGACAGTAGCATGTTAAGCCCATGAAGACTGTCCTACAGGAAGTTTTATTTCTATTGGCTTGAGTTTCGTTGTTTTTATCATTGTGCCACGAGAGTCAGAACGCAATTCTGCCGGTGAATGTAACTCAAATAAAATAGAGGGTAGGCTTAGTTTTTTTCTTTTCAGTATTATACAAAATAGCTCTAGGCTTATTTTGATTTTTGTCGCTAGTTGTGATTTTGTGCTCCTTTAAAAATATAGCTACTCCATGTAAAAAATACTAGTATGTTTTTAGTGAGTTACTCTATTCCAAGTTACAGCTTGTTTTGAGCACAGAAACGGCTTACTTATTAGCACAGGTGTCTTCAAGGGAGAGTCTGAGAAGGGAGAGGAGAACAGGGAGGGAGAAGGCTGTGGACAGTTTTCTCTCTGTTCAAAGAGCCATGAAAGGGGCTTAGTTTAAGGATTTTTCATCCAGATCAAATATTACAATTTGCACATTTAATTCTGGGTTTCTTAGTTTATGTCTGTCTTCCTGCCTCACTGTGAATTCCTCCTGTCTTTTGGATCTCTAGGTACCCAGTGCAGGGCCAGGCACCTGTCCGAGTTCAGCAGTGGTTATTGAATTAAACAATTAAAGGGGCTCAGGTGGAGATGACGTAGGCTGGATTCCTGGGACTCCAATGCAGGAGTGTGGCCTTGGCCGCAGAGGTCAGCGCTGATGTGTGTGCGATGCGTCTGTTACAGGCTACTGGAACGTCACCGTGTACGGACGCAAGCACTGCTATCGCCTCTACACAAAGCTGCTCAACGAGGCCACCCGGTGGTCCAGCGCCATTCAGAATGTGACGGACACCAAGGCCCCCATCGACACGCCCACCCAGCAGCTGATTCAGGACATCAAGGTAGGGTGGACCCGAGCCCACCTGGTGGTTCAGTCGCTCCCAGGTTGTCACCTTTAGGACATCAAGGCATCAGCATTAGTCAAGCTCCATTTTTATTCCGTAATCAGAGCTAACTCTTGGTGAATTTTGTGTTTGCGTAGCCCTGCCTTTAGGAACCTAAATGTGAGATTTTAGGCGAAATTTCATGCTAAAATATTTTATCTTTACGGAGTGTTTGATGTTGCTGTTCAGGCAGACCTGACTGCTGGCTTCTAGGCAGAGGGACGGTGGTCTGTGGTTTGGAGTTAGGTTCCCCATCACAGTGGCGGGAATTGCGTTGGGAACGACATGCTATGCCAAAGGTGCGACTTCAGCCCTCAGTTGGGGACCTTCTAGGAGTAACACGGTAATTCTTCTCTTAACTATGTACAGTGTCTAGACCAGTGATGGCGACCTATGACACGTGTGTCAGAGGTGACACGCGAGCTCATTTTTTTTGGTTGATTTTTCTTTGTTAAATGGCATTTAAATGTATAAAATAAATATCAAAAATATAAGTCTTTGTTTTACTATGGTTGCAAATATCAAAAAAATTCTATATGCTGCTCAGTAAGTGTGTGTTGAGTGAATGAGCACACAATGAAATGGCCGTCGTGCATGAGGATTATTGCGCTCTTCGTCCTGGGAGGGAGGGAGACATTGGGTGTTCAGGTTGCATTGCTCACCCAGCTGGTCCCTGGTGCAGACCCAGGTCAAAGAATTATTTTGACTGCTGTTCCTCCATGTTGTCCATGCAGACAAATTCCCAACACGAAGGAAAGAGCTGGAGCTGATTCTAAAATGAGAGTGAGACGGGTATTTATTTACTGATTAGTTGGCCCAGCTGGAGTGGCTCAGTTGGTTGAGCTTCATGCGCTGCACCAAAAGGTTGCCGGTTTGATTCTGGGTCAGGGCACGTAACTGGGTTGCGGGTTCAATCCCCGATCAGAGCACGTATGGAAGGCAGCCAGTCGATGTTTCTCTCTCACATCAATGATGTTTCTCTCTCTCCTCTCTCCCCCTTCTTCTCTCTAAGCATGTCCTCAAGTGAGGATTTTGAAAACAAGGAAGTTAGCACATTGGATGGAGGAGGCAAACTCAGCCTTTGCACACGTGGAAAAGGGTCTCATGTCAGTAGTATGTTAATGACCCACCAAATTCAAGTCAGCCTCTTGGTATCAAAGTTATCTGTTTCCTGGGTGCTGGAAGCTAAATTCCACCAAGTGTGTTATTATCCAAGACTCTGCAAAGCTTTCTGTGGAGCCCAGGATACTAATAACTTTATTTCTAGCCTTAAAAAAATTTTTTTTGAAGCTGTCTTTTAGATCGGAGTTAAAAAATGCGCATATTCAGCTGAACTTTCTCTTCCAAGCTTTATCTAGTCTTATAGTCTCTTAATTAATTTGAAATCAGGCATTCAAAGAGTAATAGAATTTTCCAAATGTGAAACCATGCTTTTCAAAAAACTAGACAAGCTGCCCTAATTAAGTCCATACCACTTTGTTTTTAAGTAAGTAAAGTTTTTCCTACTTTTAATAGGGTGTTACTGACAAAGTTTCATAGTGGAAATGGAATTACCAGGGTAGAGCGACTCATTGGCTCTCCTCCAACTCTTCTGTGTATTTAAAGTCATAAAAGTGACTGGCTGTTTCGCATCCCATATGAACATTTTAGGAGCATAAATACATGATGAATTTCTGTGAGCAGATCTCTTAAATTTCAAGAGTGAGAGAGAAGGCAGGCACATGGAAAGACAGTCTCGCTACTCCTGTAGCCTTCAGGTAGAGAGAGAATACGAAAGACAAAGAATTAGCAACATGCATTTTAAAATGAATTATAGGCCAAGGTACATGGTTTGGCTAAGCGACAGCTAAATAATTAGCAAGAGAACTTTAAATTCATGCTTTAAGTCTGCATCATTTCAGAGGGAAACTTTTAAATAACATGGGAGCGTATATGCGTATGAAATGAAGAGAAAGAGCGATGTAAGGCAACGTGTGGTTGTGGCTTGTCTGCAGACACAGACTGGGGTCTCTTCGGGCTTCCAGTTACTAATGCTGGGTTTCCACCACCTCCCTGGGTGTGTTGGACGGTGTAGACTTTGGAAACACATTGGTGTGTAGGAGAACACAGATGCGATAATGTTTTTGGCTATGCGTTGGCTTGCTTTGTTTTCCAGGAGAACTGCCTGAACTCGGACGTCGTGGAGCAGATTTACAAGCGGAACCCCATCCTCCGGCACACCCACCACCCGCTGCACTCCCCGCTGCTGCCCCTGCCCTACGGAGACATCAACCTCAACCGTGAGTCCCCGGGCCACCCGCTCCAGGCACTGGTCCTGCTTCCCCGTTAACTCTTTCGCTGCATCAGCATCCCATGGTTGTAGTGGTGCGAGGACTGTCGTACTAGAGGGAAGAACTTTAAAGGAATCAGAAAATGCCAGCAGTCCCATCCACGCACTCAGTCACCTTAATATCACCAAGAATGAATACTACAGTCTTTGTTCCGATTGTGGAACCAATTGGCAACAGACCAACTTTTTAAGTAAGAATGTTGTACAATAAAATAATTGAACTACATAACAAGACAGTTATGTAGTTATATAATTCATAAAGTTATAACTTACAGAACATAACTTGCCCCCGTAGTTTTTATTATTATTGATTTGAGAGAGAGAGAGAGACATAGACATTGATCATTTGCCTCCTGCACATGCCCCAGCCAGGGATCGACCTGCAACCTGGGTCGAACGAACCCATGTACAGGACGATGCTCCAACCAACTGAGCCACCCAGCCAGGGCACCCTTCTGTGTTTTAACAGCTTTTTCCAGCCAATTCAAAGGTACAGAGACTCTAGTGAGCACTGCGTCATGACGTAGCCATCTGTCCCCGCTCCTTCCTCTCATCTGCTGCTCACATCATCCTTCTTAGACCCCCTGGCGTGACCCCTGTTGGTCTTCTGTGTTTTAACAGCTTTTTCCAGCCGATTCGAAGGTACAGAGACTCTAGTGAGCACTGTGTCATGACATAGCCGTCTGTCCCCGCTCCTTCCTCTCATCTGCTGCTCACATCATCCTTCTTAGACCCCCTGGCGTGACCCCTGTTGGTTTGCTTTCCCCAGTGCTCAAGGACAAAGGCTACACCACCCTGCAGGACGAAGCCATCAAGATCTTCAACTCCCTGCAGCAGCTGGAGTCCATGTCCGACCCCATTCCCATCATCCAGGGCATCCTCCAGACGGGGCACGACCTGCGCCCGCTGCGCGACGAGCTGTACTGCCAGCTCATCAAGCAGACCAACAAGGTGCCGCACCCGGGCAGCGCCGGCAACCTGTGCAGCTGGCAGATCCTGACGTGCCTGAGCTGCGCCTTCCTGCCCAGCCGCGGCATCCTCAAGTACCTCAAGTTCCACCTGAAAAGGTACGAGCTGAAGATAGGTACCGTAACATTTCACTGGCATGCGGGATCCGAAAAACAAAATGAACAAGCAAACAAAACAGAGACAGAGGCATAGACACAGAACAAACCGACGGTTGCCAGAAAGGGGGGTGGGGGGACGCTGAGTGACAAAGGTGAAGGGATTGAGAAGTACATATTGGTAGCTACACAGTAGTCAGGGGATGTAAAGTACAGCCTAGGAAATACAATCACTAATATTGTGATAATTATAAATGGTGTCAGGTGGGTACCGGACTTACAAGGGGAGGAGGGATCACTTTGTAAGGTATATAAATGTCTAACTACTAAGCTGTACTCCTGAAACGAGTAAAATATTGATGTGCACTATAATTTAAACATTTAAAAATGATTTTTAATGAGGAAAAGGTATGAGATGGCCTGGGCGGAGCTGTTCACAGTGTGATGGACTGTGGTTCGGATCCAGAGGACCCCCACCTAGTGGGGTCAGGGACTCCGGGTCAGACCGGTGGGTCGCTGACGTGAGCTCAGAGGGAGCACAGATAGCATTCGTCTCTCTAAGCCACAAAGGCTGCGTCAGGGACCAGGCCACTTCAGTGTAGTTTCCATTGTGTCAGAGGACATTGGATACACTTAATTACTACAGCCAGATAGAGATAGAAAGCCCCCCAGACTTGGGTACTCGTTCCAGATGAAACACTGGTAGAAACAGCCTGGTTTCGATTCTGATTACCTGAGGAAAACCATTTTCACAGGACAGCCTGAGGCAGGACTCTCTCAAATGCAACAGCCCTGCAGAGGTGGAAGGTGCTTCCAGGCAAACACTGGCTTTTGGGGTTGTTGTTGTTGTTTGTATTTAAACTGAACCTACACAGGCTGTGCTGGGCCCCTGCCGGGAAGTGGCTGGTGTTTGCTCCATTCACCACCAGGTGCCTGCCCGCCACCCCGAAGCAGCCCAGCTGCCAGCAGCCCAGCCGTCCCCAGTCTGGCAATTAACAGTTGGTACTTGTCTCCTAGGATACGGGAACAGTTTCCAGGAACCGAGATGGAAAAATACGCCCTCTTCGTTTACGAATCTCTTAAGAAAACCAAGTGCAGAGAGTTTGTGCCTTCCCGCGATGAGATAGAAGCTCTGATCCACAGGCAGGAGATGACGTCCATGGTGTACTGCCACGGCGGGGGCTCCTGCAAGATCACCATTAACTCCCACACCACGGCCGGGGAGGTGAGGGCCGCCCGCCTCGCATCCCGTGTGATGCCTGATGCCGACTTGCTCAAGTCAGGAAAGTGGTGCACAGTCAGATCCACTGTCGTGCCAGGTTGTGATTTGCGTAGTGCAGCTGCTCCGTAAACACAGGAACAAACGTAACTTGCAACCAGCCACAGTATAAAGAGTTGAAAATAGGTCCTGAAGATGAGTAGAGACACCAAATCAGAGTGCCAGTGGATCTGAGACAATCCCAGTTCTGCTGACCTGACGAGCAGTGGAGTGTCGCTTAGGGATTGTAGCCCTGACTCGGGCTGTCCACTTCTGCAATGAGGTGTTGATATTTCCACATGAATATCTAGAATGTTCACTCAGGTGAACACCTTTTCTTTTCATTGTTTTCTGTTTTCTTCTCTCTCCTTTAACATTTAAATAAAGCCCAAAATCATCTTGTGTACAAGATAGATCGGTGGAAGTCACTGTTGTGTCTCGCAGGTTTTTTGGGGTTTCTTTTTTAAGTTTTATAAGAGTTTATTTGAGTCAAACTGACAACATGCTGGGGGCCAAGACCACGTGCGCTCTCTCTTGGAGTTTTTGAAGCACAGGGCTTCCGTTAATGCGCTTTTCCTCTTTATGTGGGTTTGTAAGTCATTGGCCCAACATCTGCCCCTACCTGTGTTCTTTTGCCAAGAAAGAGCCAATAAAACTGGTTTCAAGAGAAACAGCACCTTTGGAATTCTGGGTGGGCACACAGGACAGTTTTGGGAGGCTCTTTGGACCCTAGCTTTTGCTGGCACCCCCCTCCGAGTTCCCAGGAAGGTGCATTCTAGAAGCACAGTTCTGGGCGCTGACGGCCTCGGGCGTGTCTTGCAGGTGGTGGAGAAGCTGATCAGAGGCCTGGCCATGGAGGACAGCAGGAACATGTTTGCCCTGTTTGAGTCCAATGGACACGTCGACAAGGCCATCGAGAGCCGGACCATCGTAGCCGATGTGCTAGCGAAGTTTGAAAAGTAAGTTCCTTCTTCCTGAAGTGCCAGCCAAGTAACTAAAAGCAACTAAGAACAAGAGTGGGGGACTTGGACTTCCATTTCCAGCCTCAGTGTGCACTGGAGTTTGTTTGATTTTATCTCTGTTGAAGCTTACTTGGCTTTTCATCTCTGCGGGCTGATTTTTTGATTCCTAGATAAAGCCACTGTCTGAGAGATGATTCAGTTTGTCATTGCTCCTTTGCCCCATCCCTCCCGTCCCCTCTTTTACTCATTGCTTTGGGAATCCTGACTCGTAGGTTTTCACTTGTGCATTAGCCGTGAAACGGGGCTAGCAGATGCAAGCCAACTAGAACTCTCTATCTCTCTTGGAACTCTAATTTTGACCTGTGCCTCTTCTATCCCTTTAATGGCAGAAAAGAATATTCCTGTTCCATATGAACATGGCCTGTTATAAATGTTGTAGTTTATTTGAGGGTTGGGAATGAAGAAATCGTTTTGGTTTCTTTCCTTTCTGTGGATTCAGCATAATGCTTAGCTAGCACTAACTAGACCGGGGCACTCGGAAAATACTTGTTAGCACAGTTTAGTTGAAGGCTGCCTGTTTGCTCTGTTAAAGTGAGACCCGGATGAAAGCATGGCTTCCAGCTCTGGTTCAGTAGAATCACGAGGGTCTCTGATAAGCCTCGCTCTTATTGTTTTCTCGCTCTCTCCCTCCTCATCTGCCCACTGAGCATGGACAGGACCTCTGCATCCTTACAGAGAATAAGCCGTCCATGTACAGTCAGCCCCCAGTGGGTCACCCAAGCCTGCCTCTCGTTTTGCTTCCTGAGTCTCTCTTGACTTCTGTCTGTAGGCTGGCTGCCACCTCCGAGGTGGGCGACCTGCCCTGGAAATTCTACTTCAAGCTTTACTGCTTCCTGGACACGGACAATGTGCCGAAAGACAGCGTGGAATTCGCGTTTATGTTTGAACAGGTAAAGGAACTTTTTTTAAAATATATTTTTTATTGATTTCGGAAAGGAAGGGAGAGGGAGAGAGAGAATAAAACAACAAAAACATCAATGATGAGAGAGAATCATCAATGGGCTGCCTCCTGCAGGCCCCTTACTGGGGATCCAACCCACAACCCAGGCATGTGCCCTGACTGGTAATTGAACTGGGACCTTCTGGTTCATTGGTCAATGCTCAACTACTGCCCAGGCTAAAAGGAACTTTTAGACACAGATTCCTTTATCAGAGGGCAGGGGTGAAACCCATTACTACTACCTTTGTAAATTAACTGCTAATCCTTAGAAATTCAGCATGGTAGTCAACTTCCCCGCATGGACAGAGCCGGCTGCTTGTAGATGAAACTTATACCCATTTTAGTTGAACTCCTGGGCCAGGAACTGTTCCAGTTGGGCTGAGAGACAATCAGGAATAAAATACACATGTTAGATGGTATCCGTGCTAGGGAAGCAGCGAAGCGGGTCAGGGTACCATTGTCATTGAGAGAAATCTGATGGAGGAGGGCGTGAGCCAGGCGGGCATCCCGTGTCTGCCCCTAACGCTGTGACCGCTCCTTTCAGGCCCACGAAGCTGTCATCCACGGCCACTACCCGGCCCCCGAAGAAAACCTCCAGGTGCTGGCGGCCCTGCGGCTGCAGTACCTGCAGGGGGACTACTCGCTGCACAGCACCGTCCCGCCCCTCGAGGAGGTGTACTCCCTGCAGAGGCTCAAGGCCCGCATCAGCCAGGCCACCAAAAGCTGCGCCCCGTGTGAGCGGCAGCGGCGGACCAGCTTCCTGGAGGGGACGCTCAGGCGGAGCTTCCGCACGGGCACGGGCGCCGTGGTCCGGCAGAAGGCGGAGGAGGAGCAGATGCTGGACATGTGGATCAAGGAGGAGGTCTCCGCTGCTCGCGCCAGCATCATCGACAAGTGGAAGAAGTTTCAGGGGATGAGCCAGGAGCAGGCCATGGCCAAGTACATGGCCGTGATCAAGGAGTGGCCTGGCTACGGGTCCACGCTCTTTGACGTGGAGGTGAGAGCCGGCTGTTGGGTGGGCGGTGGCTGCTCCAGGGACCAGGCTGTGTCCGGGGACATAGATCAGTGCGCCCATGGCCAAGTGCGCACGGAGGGAGGATGGGTCGGAACACTGCTCCCTTTTACCCTCTTTTCTTAGAGCCCCCAAATTTTACCCTTAACACACCCACCCACTAAAGGTTTTTTTTTTCTTCTTTATAGTAAATGCTTTTTTAATAATAGGAGTGAGTGAAAAATTAGGATGTCACCTATTCTGAAATAACTTCTTTCTTATGGAAGCTACAGATCCAATAAAAAGTGCTGGTAGAAATGCATTGTAAAATTTTTTTTAAAAAAATTAGAACTATGTATTCAAAACTTTGGATATACTTGGATTATTTTACCTTTTTCATTTTTCCCCCGTGACTATTTTTAGGGAAGAATTTCTGTTTTATAATTGGAATCTAGCCATTGAATTTTTCTCTTTTGTTAACGTAGACCATTTATTAAAAATAACAAAAATACCTTACTGATGGTTTAGATCCAGGCTTGGCCAACTGCAACCTGAGGGCCAAATCATGCCTGCCTCTTTTTTTTTTTTTTTTTTTTAATATACTTTCATTGATTTTCTACAGAGAGGAAGGGAGAGGGACAGAGGGTCAGAAACATCGAACAGCTGCCTCCTGCACACACCCCACCGGGGATGCGCCAGCAACTGCGGTACATGCCCCTGACCAGAATCGAACCCGGGACCCCCCCAGTCCGCAGGCCGACACTCCATCCACTGAGCCAAACCGGCCAGGGCTGCCTTTTTTTTTTTAAATAAAGTTTTATGGGAACATAGCCATGCTTTATATATCTTTGGCCACTTTCACATTAAAGTGGCCGAACTGAGTGGCTGTGGGAGAGACCGTGTAGCCAATAATCCTGAAATATTTACTGTCTGTCCCTTAACATAAGCTTACCAGTCCTGGGTCCAGATGGGCTTCCATTTTTCTTACCACAATTCAGGATGTTATCTGATAACCTTTAAGTGAGAGTGTAAACATCTAAAGATTGATTTTATATTTCAAGATCCCTTCATGGCTTTTCATGGGATGCTGTCTTTGGTTTGGTTGGTTGGTTGGTTGATTGGATTATGTTGGTTTTTGAGGATAAATCAGGTCCTTTGTCCAAGTGGCTCCTCTTGGTGTCACTCGTGTGTGTGCTGGTGTCACTGTACTGGTTCGGATCAGCCCCTGTTGTTTTCCCTACCC